CTACCATTTTCTGAATAGTTTGTTTTTTTGTGAGATTGTGTTTTTGTTTTGTTTTTGTTTTTTTTTTACAGATGAAAAATTTTAAATCAGGAAAAGCTTTGACTGTCTTTTTATAATTGTCCTCTTTTTCCGTTTTGAATATCATTGTAGAAAAAAACTCTAGAGGAAGAATAAAGACACACTGACAGAATTTCCTGGTGATAGATTTTTAAAGAGGATATCGTCATTTTTGTCACACATGCAGAGATTTAGACACTTATTGTCGACTGATTAAATGAAAATCACTCACACATCATCTAAACTACGTCATAAGGTTTAGGCACTAAAAATAAAACAGCAGATTCTTGAAAATAACCTTATGCATTTTATAAATCTCTTTTTCCTGGCCTATTGAGTTGGTMAGAAGAAGAGGTGTTGTACCCCACTGGGACCCCCCACCCCCACTAAGTAAATTATAAATGAGTTAAATATTAATTGTATTCTCTATTTCRGTAAAATTCAGTGGATCTTTCTGCACATTAACATCTTGCTCAATGAATGAATCKTTCCTCCATTTACCCTCGCTTGTGGCTTTCTCACATCGTTACAAAAGTAAAGTGTGTGCTGTAGATTAGGCCAAGCGCCATTCTGTTTTTCTGAGTTAAGTTAACATTAACAACTTGGCAAGTCCTCTGAAGAAACTAATGTCTTCCCCAGATGTCTTCTGAGGTATAATAAGTTATCTGTTCATGTCTGCTGCTGGGCTAGCGCTGCAGGATCGTATCCTTTAATGCACAGTAATAAGTTGGCGTTCAGATGAAGTAAGTGTTTAAAATGTTTTWAAATTTTATGGGTAACTTTTAAAACCATTGCTGGACATATAAAGAGAAAGGGATAAGTGGCAGAATTGCTGAATTGCTTGAGATGAAGGAGTGAACACAGTGATATTGACAGACTATYAACCAAAAATGTAACAATATAGCAAATAATATGACTAAATCTTAAGATTACCAAGGCTACAGTGGTCGACGGTTTGTATGAGCATTGCAGATAATCATCTGCATAAACAGTAATTGATAGCTCTGAATAAACAGAAAGCCTGAAAATCAAAATAAAAGGGAGCCGAGGAGTCATCACTGAGGTACACCACGACTCATCTGAGCCATTGAGGATTTGTTTAAAATGGCAAAGGTTCTGTTTTAGAWGTAGGGTTAAGAAATTCAAAGCAGAGACTATGATGCAAAAAGATGTGATCAGCTTTACTGAAGGCGACGCTAAAGACCTGAAAACCTAAAAACCTAAAACTGAGCTAATTTGTTGCAAAGTTTCTGTACCAAGTGATTTATAATCAGACTGGAAACATTGTCTTTGCATTTAAATTGATCCAAACTTTCACGTATTCATGAAAGCCATTGATCCTTATATTCCCAACACATCTGACATTTCCACAAACAGAGCTAAATCTTTATCAGTTTGGTGTTTTATTTTTTCTTTTAATCACTCTCAGCTTCGTGTGTTTTTCACTTTTCAAGTGGGTTTTTGTTTTTTTTGGTTCACTCCAGGACCAGCCCAGATGGTTCTTCTTCCATCTGCCATATTGGGTAAAAGAAGAGATCTCTGTTGTTAATTTGAAGCCTGCGAAAGGAGGGTTTYTTCAAATGAGCTAACAGCTTTTGTAATTAAAGGCCACGAGACTTGCAAGCTTTAGACTGAACCCTTTGGGACGGGGTGGGAACAAGTGACAGAGGAGGACATTTAGATTTGTCTGTAGTGATGGAGGAACAGGAAGTAAAGTCATTGCATCCGATTTGTTGGATTTCTCCAAATTGCTCTTCAAAAGATGTTATTGTTTGGCTATTTTCAGTCACTTCGGCTTTTTTTCAAAGGTCAACAAACCCACGTGGGTTAGCTGCTGTTCACAAATTTAGCTTTCACTTTGAGCATGGTTATCTCTTATTCAGCCCACAGGGGGGAAACAAAAAAAAAAAGAAAATAGTTAAAATTTCATGCTCTTTAAATACATTTTACTACATAACACAGGGAATCAAAGTCAAAACAGTTTTTATTCACATCACTTTTACTGATGCAGGTTCAAAAATAATGATTGATTTGAAAATAACTTATGTTGAGCAAACAGCTGATACAGTTAGAAAATTTGTTACTTTGGTTGAAAACAACTACAATTTCCTACAAATCGAATACATTTCAATCCAATATTTACATATGAGGTATTAACTGGCGTACCAACTGCAATCTACAGAAAAAAACAACTTCAACCTTTAAGCAAATTACGTCAAATATGCATTTTAAAACTGTAAAAGCATTAATTAATAAATGTGTCACGACATTATCCTCAATGTCCTGTCAGTTAACATGCCAGTACGTTTGCCATGTAATAAACAAAACATGACAATAAATAAAATGTTTTCATAAAAAATATGCAACTTTTTATATMATCATAAACTATAAATAAGAGCTCATCTTATTAACAAAGTATAAAAAGGTGAATAAAGTCAATCTTTTAACCAAGAGGACAGCCTTTATYTGTGACAGAATGGTCAGGAAATGTTTATAGACTGGCAGGACTCGGTCCTCAGCTCCTGCTCTACAGTAAAACTGTTTAGGAGTCGTTGATCCCACAGAGAAAATAAACRTGGTCTCTACCCCTCCCTGAGAAGCTGAGCCCTCTGAAAACTGTAAATAAACGCAAAGTAAGACCCTTTTGTCTAATCTCTCTTAGTCCCAGCCAAAGTCTTGTCCGCTCATCTGGTAGAACCGGTGGTTGATCGGCCGGTAGAAGTCTCTGAGTCTCTGCAGGACCTCAGAYGGGATCTGGGGGTGAGGTCTGCCCTTGGACTTTCCAAGACAGCGAGGTCTGCTGCTCCCCTCAGGCTTCTTCAGGCAGGGGAAGCCTTTAGTCTGGTTGAAGTAGAAATGTTTGTCTGAAATGACCCTTTTCAGGCCCAGGAAGTCCTGAACCCGACCCATCTCCCCTGCCGGATCGGACACCAGCCGCTCGCCGCTGACAAACAGGAAGTGAGACAAGGGGAAGTGCTGTAGCCAGTGCTCCAGGTGCGTGGCGTACAGGCCGATGCGCAGGGCGCTCCACGTCGTGTCGATGGAGCCAGTGGAGGAGTTCTTTAGGGCCAAGCTCTGGAAGGACGGGAGGCCCGGGTTCTTGGACAGAGTCTGGGTGTAGTCAGACACAGCACGTGTTACCGGATCCCTGACCACTACGATGAGCTTGGTCTGGCAGTTCATGGTGCACACGCGGCCGGGAGCTTCCTTCGTGACAAAGTAGCTGGGCGTCTTCTCTATGGTGATCTGCCCGTCCAGAGTCCGGGGCATCAAGTTCCTGAGTGGAAGGAAGGAAAAAAGGAAGTTTGATTAATCGCCAGACTTTAAAGGAAATATATCATGATTTTAAATCCTTCTTTTTCACATCTAAATCATTCAGGTGGGGTCTAAAAAAAAGAGGAACTGCATTGCTTTGGTCTGAATTCTTCTTTATTGTAACTCAACAATTTTCTGCACTCCTAGAGTCTCCAAGTGCACAACATGATGTATTTAATGGCTAAAAAMGTGGATTTYGCAYATGTCCCCTTYAAGGTRTCGTTCAACATWGCTTGACCACATTAACAAATGCAGAACAACATAAGTTTATTTAGGATTGTAACTCCTATTAGGTCCACCAACTCTAAAGGGAAACATTATTTGCTTCTACATGTTTATTATCTTATGATCAWATTACTATTTGTGAGTAAAAATAGTTCAAATCTTCTCACCCCGAGATTTCCACAATCTTTAAAAAAAGATTTAAAGACTGTTCTTTTTAAACCAGCCTATTCTGGCTCGSTTTGAAGGCATAAACGATTTGAGATCATTTTAACTGGGCTTTAAACTTGAGCCTTTTCCCAGTTGTTGTTTTTAGTGTAATTTCATTGTTTTATGATTTTACTGGTTTTTTATGCACTGTGTGTTTTGCTGTTCTTTAGCTCTTCGAGATTTTTGATAAAGAAAAGTGCGTTAAAAATATATTTTTTCAATTTTATTTAGCTGTCATTTTACCAGGCAAATCCCATTGAGATTACAAACTATTTTGAATGGGAGGCCTGGAAGGCAACCTGTTGTACATATTTTTGAGGTGTGGTGGTAACCAGAGTACCTGGAGAAAACCTAAACAAGCACGAGGAGAACATGTAAACCCCACACAGAATGACCCCAGGTCCGAACCGGGGATCGAACCCAGGACCTTCTAGCCGTGAGGCGACAGTGCTAACCACTGAGTGGCCACGCTAAAAACAATTATTATTATTATTATTATTATTATTATTATTAGATTCTTTGTGGTTCTGTGATGAAGTTATGAACAACAAGCTTTTAATTTGACCTCAGTTTGAAGAAATTAGCTCTGACTGGACTGACGAGCTAACAGCTAATCTGCAGGAGACCAAAAGAAATTTTTTAAAATTAATGTACACAGATTGCATCGTAACATAAGTAAAGCACATCAAAATTCGTATGATTAAAGCGGTATATAGCCTGACTCTGTTGCAGCTCCAACTCTCACTCTAAGGCCTGCAGAGCAGAAACCATCCACTCACTTTGGACCCGATGAGTCAAAACCGCAAAGCCTCAAGAACCACTTTACAGCAATTTCCTACAGATTTCCACCCCCTCTTCTTCCTGCATGAGCAAAGTGCCCACCTCCCACCTCACCCCCTCATCCTCGCCTCCAGCACAGGTTCCTACAGGGGTCCAAACGGGCCACTGCCTGCAGGAAGTGCAGCCCAGCTGGGAAAGCTGCTGAGTTCAGTGAGTGTGTTAAACACATGGCCCAAAAGAGATATACCAGTATATGTTTTATATTATGTCACTAGGAAAATGTCATTTACGAAAAAATAATTGCGAAATATGTTGAATTGTGTCCTTTTTTTAAACTAATTAAATTTTCGGTGTCCTCTTGTTGCTCTTTTATGATTTGATTCAACTTTCCTGTTGCTCAGACGTATATTTCTGCAACAAACAGGCATTGTGGGTAACATCCAGGGTTCAGACGTTTTTCTGTGATTATGATTGATGGGAAAAGTGGACGGGGCAAAGTCAAGTTTAAGAAGCAAGCAGTTTTTCCTGACAAATGACCGATGAGCGCTGATTAAAACAGCAGAGGAAGTGTCTGCACTTCATTTATACAACATATATCTCAGTTTGTGACTGGAAATGAAGAGCCTTCATGTGGTTTCCCTTAAAAATAAACAAGCAGCGGAGCGTTTGGTGCTTTCTTTGTTTTAGATCGGGAACTTCTATTAAAGCCCGAGTGTTCATGAGAGAGGAGTCCCGTTCAGAACTGCAGGGGAACATCTGAGGRAAGTTTATTTTCATTTTCCCAGGGAGATCGTTCATGATCAAGTGTGGCTGTAACCATTACCGAAAAGCAAACTAAGCGCCGTAATGAAAAGAGGTTTTTCATGAGAGGGTAGAAAAAGGATAACTGACGGCAATTAAACTTTAACAATAAAGGACAAAAAAAAAAGGAAATTTAACACAATAAAAGAGGGAAATAAGTACAGTGTGACTCAAACGTCACATAACACCCTTTTTATTTCAAAAACAAAGGGGAAAATGYCATATCTGAATTCCCCCAGATTTTTCTACAGAAAAACTTACCCTTGATCTAATATGGTGACTTTCAAGATGGCAGCCATGTTCTAGAAACCTATTGCGTATTCAGATATGTCATTTTCTCTTTTCTTTCTGAAATAAAAGAGTGTCCTGTGACTTTTGACTCAACCTGTATAAACCTTTAAGGGAATATTTAGAGAAAGTTAAAGTAAGAAAACAAAAAGAGGTTGATCAAGCAAGCAATGAAGGTAAAAAAAAAAGATTTCTAGTGCTTTGAAATGAACAAATTTAACAACAAAGAGTTTTATTTGGAGTTACTTTAACCTSTATAACATTCCATACAAGTTGTTTTTACTTTTAGTCATCACTGAATGCTCGTCTACTCATGGATTCAGGTCGATTCAACACGTCCCCATTAGCCAACGTGAAAATGACTTTAACTCTGCAAATATACAAATATTGAGCTAAAGCTTGATGTGGCAGTASCTTAGAATCGTTTCCAACACATACGCTGAGAGTAATAACGTAATTTTCAAGGTTTGACCTACACCTCCCACTGTTTATGTATTCTCATTACATCAGATGATCTAAACTCTGGTATGAAAAGCGACGGGAGATAGGAATGACAGTGGTTAAAAAAAGTGCAACGTATCGAAAAACGTTCAAATGAAGAAGATAAAATAAGGAAAGAACATTTCAGTGWGCTGAAGGAAACTTCTGTAAAGTTTTTACTCTTACTTGAAGGTAATCCCACCCTGCACCACCTCCCCCCCATTAAAGGGTCCCTATAATGAAAGACCATTAATTGATTAATATCCAATTACAAGAGCTGCAAATGGCGTATCGCTGCCTCCCTGTCCTCTGTTTATGTGTCTGATCAATATGTCTGTCTCTATATGACAGATTGCTCTCAGTGTGTGTGTGTGTGAGTGTGTGTGTGTGTGTGTGAGTGTGCTTTTGCTGACACACAGGAGAGCACAGAGGTGTCAGTGTTTACTGATGAGTAAATTAGTCTCCGTCTCCCTCTCTGTTCTCGTCTTCCTCGTCTGTAGGCTTGGATTTGTCCTTCGCTCCTTCAGCTGAGTGACACTTCAGTAAACGACCACAAGTTGTCTTTTCCAAACTCATGAATAGTTAATGAGTTATGGCTTTCACCCCGCTCCCTTCAGACACCCGTCTCCCTCGTCACAATCAGCCTCGTTCCCGGTGAATCAATAAAGACAATTTTCTATCATAAATCTGTCCGCGTGGAGTGTCAGGCAAAGAGTAAACACATCAGAGATGATTAATCTAAGATACGTTTCATTATCTGACCTGAAGAAAACTTTTGTTAAGTATCTGAACGTGTTCCTCTCTGTGTTTTTAAAGGATGCAGAGCGTTTCCATCGTGAAAGGTTATGGAGCAGATTACACTGATATGTTCGAGGCAGTCGGGCTCACAGGAAAAACCTTGAAAAAAAAAAGGATGTGGCCAAGAGACTTCCTGCCCCCTGAGGTTAGGGGTTCTCTGGTGCAACTACACCCCCATGGCTTCTTAAGGAACCAAAAAAGAATGGGTTCTTCACATCAAGTGAAGCTGATGAGAAAAAACAAGCAAAAATAAATAAACAAATATTTAAATAAATAAATAAAACCGAATTATTAAATCACTTTCAGTGTACATGTTCATCTACTCACAAGTATGAAGGAGGTTTCTGC